AATATAACAAATATATAATCTTGCAGCCATGACCAAGCAACCAAAGACATTTTATGATAAAAAAAAAAAAATACATATACTAGAAGAGAGAGAGAGATTGTCCATAAAAGCCGGCTTCATTCGTTGTAAAAAGTCATTTGAATTATGTATAATACGTATACTACATAACTTATCACAAATGTATTCATCTCATAAACAGAACCATCTCATAAACAGTCGTAGTACTCATGTTTGTACGCGTACATAGGAGAATCAATACTGGAACAAAAACAACAGTCAACTAGTGTTTTGATCCTAGGAATATTCATATTCTGCAAGTCCTTCTACGACATCTTAAAAAACACTACAATGCTTAGTTCACTTTTTCCTTCGAAGAAAGGATAAACAAACAAAATTTCCATAATCAATTTCATTATTGTCTTTAGACCCTTGCTTTCCATATGTTACTCTTCATTTCGGTTCATACTTTTATGTTTCTTTAAAAAAGAATGTTAATTTGATATATTTATACCCACCGCTTGAAAAGTGGGAGGGCATATAGTAATGGGATTTCCGTCTGTACGTCCGTCCGTCCGTCGTCTAGATCTGTTACGCTTTATCTCTTATCCGCAACTCCTCTTATACTACTGAGTGAAATTTAATGAAACTTTCACAGAATCTTTATTACATATTGCCATTGTGCACCTCCTATTTTACTTTTATATTCAACACGTATTTTAGGTTTCCCATAGCAAAACATGGACATTGCCATTATATGTTTACCTATGACGTCACATTACCATAAAACAATATGTAGCAACACATGGACATTATGGGAGGCGGGGGGTATCATTTAGTGAGCTCATTGCTCACAATACCTCTAGTTTTGGTGTTTGTAGGTTTATTACAAAAATTTTTAAAAAATGTTTATCCTTGGCCTGGTTAGTCAGAGTTAGCCTGGCACCGCCGGATGAAAAGAATTCCCTCTCCTTTTCTTAGTCTATGTAGAGAACTAGGCAACGATGTCATTGACCATCAAAAAAACCTTACGCAAATAACCTATTTCGTTTGATTTAGGACTAAAGTTTTCAAAGTCATTGCTACTGCTATTTATTTGTAGATGAAACTTCGTTTCATTTTTGTTGCTTTTTTAATATAAGTATTATATCAAAAACAAGCACTATATTTTACACGTAACTTTAATTTGGGGACTATGGGGTGATCATCCTGCCTCGAACGGGCTGACAATAGCACGTAATTGCTCTTTAAGCAATAAGGCTGGCTAAAAATTACATGGCATTTGGTAAGCAATTTGTTTTAACCATAGGATCAGAATTTACTTTTCCAACAAAGAAGATAAAAATGAAAAATGTTCTAACTGAATTCGGAACGTTATGAAAATGATACATGGTCATTGGCTCTTTCAAGAGTGGACAAGGTTATCTCGGAAAAAAGTAACATCATTTACCGCATGATAGACAAATAGAGATTTAGTTAAAGACTTGTTAGAAAACAAAACTTCAAACAGTGATCGACCACAATTCCTTTCCAAACTTTAATTTTGATTACAAACATAAATCATTTATGTTCTTATTCGTACCACTCAAACGAACATAAATAATTTATAAAATAAACACAAACACGTATATTAGGATGTGAAGCGCTCTGATAGTGCAGTTTACTTATAATACACAGATTGTTACAAATACATATCAATCTTCTTTAATTGTCTTCCTTTCTACAAAATAAAACAAGATTTTTAAATATAAAATCTTTTTAAAACAAGTAAAGCAAGGGCGGGTGGGTGGGGATTCAGTTATATGCACTAAAAAGAGCCTTCGAATGGCTTTAGAATATTCTGTGCTAAAAGCGGTCAGTTAAAACCCGTGCAATGAATATTTAAATGTCACCTGACAAGGTGACCAGCATTACAGCCAATAGATTACAGATATAAATAAACACGAACACGTGTTATTAGCAACATTGATAAATACATTAAATTTTGGAATGTCAAAACATGCGTTAAGCATTACAAAGACTGAATTAACTTTGGAAATTCCAGTTTTCACCAAAACGTTCTAATTAGTCTGTAATCCTTATTCTGGTACGTTTGTTGTAGTTTTTTTCAGATCGGGGAGATATTGAAGAGCAGTAACAATTTATTTTCAGTCAATTCAGGTTGATCTGTTTTTCAGTATCGATAAATGTCCTTCATTTCCCCCACTCTCGAGTTTGACCTTTTGATTGCAATGCTACAATAACACTTACCCTGCATAAAAGACGTTATCTGTATAAAAACAGAAACCTCAAATACGAGTCGATATTACGCCAGCACGGCCTGCAAAACCCGGATTGATTGGGATGCAATCGAACACGGCAGTGTTATAAATTAACAATAAAATCACACATTAGATGAACAGGTATTTTCACCAATATCTTTTATACAGGCCCTGAAATCACCTTACCAAGTTATTCTCAAGTACAAAGTTATAAATCATAGCGGGGTGATTTTCTTGTTCTCTTTTCATGAGAGTAATCTATAGAACGAATTCTTCCGTACTTCATTTATGGCATTGAATTCATTTTTGCATGATGATTTTGATTTTAAATGTCAAGTTCTGGGGTTTTTGTTCATGAACACCATGATGCATTCAATTTCGACAAGGTACAGGGTACCTAGAGGAGTAACTAGAATATTTTTAAAGAACTTTTTTTTATTTTACAAACTTGATAGGACTTTGTGTTTATGATTGGTTTAACGATTTGTAAGTCCCTCTAGATAACAAAAATTAGAAATATTTCAGTTTATCTTTTGTACTTGTTATCTACATAAAATGGGCCTTCACAAAATATAACTGTATCTTAAGGTGTCACACCTAAACATTGCACCAAAAATATAGTTTATGATTTCCTTCGATTCATTTCTATAAATGCATTACCTCCATTACCTTGCACATGTATATTACAAACGAATATGTAATTTCAAGTACTAGTATTTAATTATTAAATAATTAATTAGGCGTTTTTTTTCTTATACATGTATTTACTATGTAAGCATTCATAGAGTATGAATCTGGTCATTAATTTGTTATCGGTTTGTTATTTTTAATTTTTCCATGATTTTACAATTTCTGTTTTAATATTAATGAGAAAAGAATTTTCACAAGTATGTCGATTGAATTTTACAAGTTGCACAAAATTTTCTTCCGCTAAAATTATTAGAAATAAGAAATTCCACTAAAATCTATTGCGTCCCCGTCACAACCGAACTATGCAAGATTTCTCCTAAAAATCTTACCTTAAGGTTCACTGACCCAATGATAAGGAAGATAACTCTCATTTGGATATAAAACCATTATAATGTGAAACTACACGTACATTACAAATATTATTTTTTCCCCAAAATGATTTACTTTAACAATGAAGTGATGAAGCTGAAAAGACGGTAAAAATTATTTATTCGTTGCAAATAATTTTGGATTTGAAAAGAAACGGAAAAGGGAAAAAAATATGTATGTAAGTGGATGTTTGCAATGCAGCTGCGACAGGCAACGAGACGCACAACATAAAGTGCAGTAGTCCCAAAGTGTAACTACATGCAACACACATATTCTTGATTGATAAATGGATTTTTTAAAAATTTATTATTTAAAATTTTAGAAGACTTAACTTAATTGTTTTAAAAAAATAAAACAGTTCTGGAAATTTGGTTTCTTTTCTGTAATGATTGTTCACGACAAATACATGCATATATATAAAGAAAAGGATAGTTATTCAAGACCAAAAAAAAAAGACAAGACTAGAATTTGTATTCAAGCAGATTTACTGTCGATGTGCCTGATATAACTCTGATACCATACAGCTCAACAATAGGGTGACATGTAAAACATAACATCATAATTATGGAATCCAGCCGGGAAAGGGTAACAACACCCTTAATTCCGTAATGTGAATTGTAGTGCATATTTACTTTGACACCAATTTTGATCTGTAAAGTTTGAACAATTTTTCTTTTCGATGATGTTATAATAAAGAATAATTACTTAAGCAATATACATGTAGATTTTCATACATTAACCTTAACAATAGTATTCTTCAATTTACTTCTGAAAGCATGAACAGAGGAAAGTTTAAAGTTACATTATTACAAAATTTTGTTACAATCATTATTAAATTATTATAAACATAACATTATTTCAAAATACAGTGTTTTAAGAAAACTTCATCATTTTTGCGCAAACTGTTTGGGATGAAAAGGGAAAAAAGTGTTAATTAGCCGATTTATATTAGCCTTGATACGAAATAATTAATATTTCTAGGAGGTCAAGACACTGTTTATTACATTGTAATTCTCTGTGTTACACTCTTAAAGCTGTTCATACATGTAATATCCTACTGCATTCACGTTCACATAACTATGGAATGTGTATGGAACTAATTTTTGAAGTTTGATGTAGAAAAGGAATTCTTAAGTTTATCTGTGAACATTAATACATTAGGCATTAATTAAGAAAATAAAAGTTTTTTGTTGAAATTGAAAAATTGAACATTGTTTAAGTAATAAAAAAAATTTGCTTTTACGTGAGTGTGGTAAAATGATTCTTCATAAATGTTCAGATGCCAAAAAAAAATTAATTTCTTGAGTTCTATACATGTGTATGACTGTATGAAGTACAGTTTATATAGAACAATAACCACAATTCGTGAAAATTATGTCTCGCTAATCAAGAGTCAATGACTATCTCGCGAAAATAAGGTGTCGCGAAAATTTAGTGATCTACAGTAAAAAACGACACTTAACGGAAAAAGCCGAAAGACATCCGATTGGAAATGTCAAGTGAGAGTAAATGACAGTGCACATATAATAACAAGGATATCAACTTTCCTCTTCCATGGATGGGGATGAAAATATCCAATGAACGATCACAGATAACAATCATTAACATAAAGTCATTCCTGGAGCTCGTGACAATGACGAAATATACAGAACCCTATCATGGCATTGGAAAATCCGGAAAATCATGAGCAGGTAACAGAAGTGTATAACAAAACATAAGTAAAATTCAAGTGTTCAACAAGCGTCAACGGACGTAACAATTTGCATAATTATATCTTTGCATATAACGTTATAAACTTACAAGAACAACACATTCTTGACATTACTGAAAATGTTAACGATGTCATTATTTTTTAAATGCACATAAACAAAAACAAGTGTTATATTTTTGGAGATTCAAGTGATATTTAAGCAGGTTTTAATGACAGATCGCTACGAACTCCAGCATCTTTCTGTCGAAGATACTCACGCAACTCATACAGTTGACTATGCATGTTAGTGATGAGTTTTTCCAGTGTATCAAGTCTGTGTTGAATGTTTTCTTGCTCTGTCTTAATGTCTGAGGTATTGTCTGTTATTTCAGTTATATTTTTCGAAATTTCAACCACTCCTATCACACTATCTCGCATTTGAGACTTATCAAATTGAGATTTCTTCATTCGCCGAATGGCGTCCAGAAGTTTTCGGCGGTGTTTCAAGATCCGCGGACTATGGAAAGACAACCCTGTCCGTCGCAGTTTCCAAACCATCATCGCACGTTTCACAACATCAGCTGCGGCATGGCGGTGCAGTTTGTCCAGTTTTATTTGTTGCACAAATGTGTGCACATATTTCTCTGATCGACTTTGTTCCAATTTTCGCGCCAAAACTGCGACACATAACGCCATGATGCCAACACCCATAAGTCCCGTGACTATAGCTATTATCCTGCCGCATATACTGTTTGGAACTACATCTCCATAGCCAAGAGTGAGGAACGTTACTGCGGTCAGCCATAGAGCTTGCAAATAGTTCCCATGGTCTCTGTCCACTGTGTGATACTCACACACTCTAATTGACCAACTACTGATCAGAAGAGTACATAGTAAGATGGCCATTAAACAAGAGCCCGGATGCGTGGTCATAAGGGCCTTAAAAACAAACTGAGCATTGATTTTTACTTTACTAAGCGTACCTAAACTTTGTACAGTGGTATCGCGAAATAAATCACTGTGTACCACCAAGTACCTACAAAGTATATAAAGACGCAGAAACATGAGAACAGTTAAAATGGAATTTATAGGAATGCGTCTATCCTGGAACACGGCACCACCATCCGCACCTTCCGTTACGACTACCACAGGAACCCGGATTTCACCATAAGGCAAAGGATGGATTGAACATATGACGACTTCCGTCAAAACTTTAATAATTATGGAATAATTTATGACTAATCGCCAGTTTTCCAACCCTGCAGTAATTAGTTGTAACTTAACCCCAATCAAGTTGTATACAATGACCGAGGCTACCAATAACACGCTGGTGATGGAAGTGATTATACGAAGAATCACAGATTCCGTTGTAGTGTATATTCCACCATATCGGAGTTCGGTGTCTATCACATTTGCAAGAATTCCAATGATGCTTAGAACAAACGAAGCATCTACGACTCGGGTTCGGCGTTCGATCAGTTGTTTCCTACTGTACAACCGGAAACCAAGATTTGACTTGCCGTCTGCTTGCTTTGCATTGGATTCCATACTCGGGGATTCTGATATCAAGTTTTCAGTACTAACGTAACGAGTGTAATTGGAATCCGTTTTAATTAGAGGAATCCCGGGACCCTCCATGACCTGGCGAGTACCCTCCAGTGCCTGCAAAAACAAAAATATCTCCCAGAATTCACCTCCAAATGTTGTGAATACGACAACTGGTTTTAGGGTTTATATGAAAATGCTGACGTCATCAAAACATTTTAGCGAAATGTCTTGTATTTTGCAAAAGAGAATCACTTCGCACGATTGCTTAAAAGCCCTAGTAAATCAATTACATTAATGAATTTACTGTTTCTCTATATATGCATCTCGTTAGAAAAACACATTTATTGTCTTTTCGGGTTAAGCTATGTGTTATCTGGGTTTTAACACGGGCGTTAGAATTTTTTTCCTCTGGCCAATCTGTATAGATATTTTCCCTTAATAGAAGTGTGCGACAAGAATGTTTGTCTGATTATGAATTTATGAAACCGTGTCTTCGAAATGATCACGAAAGTTACCATGGTAATCAGCTTGGTATTAGTGAAAGCATTAAGGTGGTAGTGAAAGGCTTAAGGCGGTGTTACCTTGAATGCAGTGGTGTTCATAAGTCTCGACAAGACAGGATGGGCCAGCGTGAAACATCATTCTTATCATGTATCGCCAAGCATCGTCTGCAACGAAAAAACAAACAACGTCATTTTAATTCCATAATCGTCTGCAAGTAAGAAATGTCCATAAAATCTGCAATACAGACAGAAAATAAAAAAATAAATAACCCTGCCAAACTATAAACTTTTTTGATGTAGCGGGACCCAATGCTACACAGATTAATGAATTATCGATTGAGGTTTGTTTAAAATGTCGTTGACTAATCTAATGCCAACTTAATATAGTTGCTAGCATTTCATAACTGCCCACTAGGTATTCGATGAGGTGGTTATTCAGCTATAATCAATTTTATAGAGGTTATTTTTTGCTGGTATCTTTGGTGGTGATTTGCTGTCTAGAACGTTAGTATATTGATAACCTTTCCTATCGGTCTCCGGTGCAGTCTCATATGAGACTTTGGCCGAGGGTTACAGCTGATCCTATGAAATGATATTCCATTTCATCTCATTTGCTTCAGTCCGAATTAAATTGAAGACAATAAATGGAAACATTGCAGCATTTGGTAATGTCTCTAAAATGCATTATATCCCGAATCATGATGAAACAAACATGGAAATCTGCGCGTGACTTTTCATATGTTAAACTTTTTTATTCTTCCTGGCATTTTTCTATTGATCTTAAATGTATTTTCGATGTAAAATTGAAAGACTATTCATTACATGTACTTCAAAGAAGTAATTGAACTTTTTAAATGAAATTCATTCGTAATTAAATATTACTACAAATCAGTAATTAAGCAGAAAATACTTAGTTAAAAGCTTGTTGATTTTCAAACAACAGATACCAACTAATGAAACCTGGCGTATTCATTCGTGTTGCATCCGGGTTTTGAGACTTAAAAGTAAAATTATAGACAAAACATTGAATGAATGAAAGTCATTTTTGTCAATATTTATTACTTTGTAAAATTTTCACGTGTTTCTAGTTCCTTTTTAATATATAATTATGTTTATTTTAATATTATCACCCCCCCCCCCCCCCCCCCCCGTGTGTTTTTATTTGTTTTCCATTTAAAATTGTTTTTATAAAAGTTATATTTGAAGTAGTTCTCTGTTTCACTTTCAAAGTAAAAACATCGAATTGTTTGAGAAAATCCAGAGTATTGCAAAACTCTGATTTCATAAATCAAATGCAAAAATACACGGAATATATTCACACTTTCTGTTAAAAAAAAAAAAACTATTCACTCTTTCTTTTCACAGAATATCACATGTCCTGGAGTGATGTCTCTTACTGAACGGCTTTGACCTATTTGTTAAAAGCGGATCTGTGGTACGATTCATCATATGTGACACGAACTTAAGACTGTATTTTTGTGTCGGTGAAGATGAACAAAAACCTTGTTTATATTTCTGATTAGAAATCGATACTGCAGTACTATGTCTATAAAAAAAAATCGAAACTGATTCAGGTAGCATAAATACTAACATGATTAATAAAATCTATGTTTTCTCATCGCGGATATTTAAAAATATATATACATGTAGATGTTTTATTTTAAATATGATATAAGATTACCAAAAAACAAACATTACGCAATATTGGTTTTGCTTATGCTGTATTTGATTGGCGTTTTCTAACCAAAGTGGCCAGCAATGCACTCAATACCTCCTTGCAGAGAAGAGTCGTCCGAATGGAGCATTTATTTAGACTATTTTTTTCAAAACATAGATAAATGTATAAAACGTTTCAAAGTGAACTGTCGTAAATTACGCTAAAATATGGCCCAGTTTTTAGAACTTTTTCTGTTCAAATAAAATAATTAACTTTTCCCCAATCATTCTATAATGAGCAACATCTGTGTGTTATCGTTCAGTACAGTATTGAAAATGCCGATCTGTTTTCATCAAATCCAGGGTACATTATCCTTCCATAATTCAATAAAACAATGTAGATGTGGGTGAAACCTTACAAATTGATTTACATTTTGAAATTTAAAAAAGGGTGTTTTTTAATGCATTGCATATAATGTGCACCCAATTATACAGGGGTATTTGATAAGAATGGTTGACACCCCAATTCTACACTATCATAACTTTAGTATACATGTTCTTGTTTTCCCTTATTAAGTTTCAGTGAACTTTATTGAGTGGTTTATGTTTAGGTTTCAAAACTATTTTAACTTTTTTTTATCAGACTAGACAACAGATTATTGAAAATGGTAAATATAGTTATGAAGGTTACTCGTCAATAAAATTAATCAAGCTAACGCAACATGTGTTATGAACAGTTCGTCCTTTGGTTCATTTAATTAGATGAATTGAATAGAGAGAGATATATATTGATGAAAAATCGCAAAACGTCATTGATGTGTCAGAGCCATGTTTATGACAATATCAGAGCAATTAATTAGCGCCTTATGGCATACGTTATATATGTAATATTAATATTGTACTGACATAAATGTATATTACATGTACATGTATATATTGCAGGAGCAGCGATAACCAAAATATTATAAAAGACTAATTTAAAGGTACATGTATATCCATAGAAACAAATTCTTTATAAAGGTTATTTGATCGGTGAAAATATCAGAAACGGTCCCTGAGAATAGAGTTTCCGTTTTGCAATAAATATTCAGAGAAACATGGTATCATATTGCACACAGTACTAAATGAATATATGCTGATAATCCTATGTAGCAAGAAATGCATTGCCATAGTGGTTATGAAAATGTCAACTGTGAATCAAATTCAAGGTTTAAAACATGATATTTATTAAATGCAAAACGATGTATATTTTCATGCTGTGTTTAGCGACTTACTATCCCTACAGTAGCTTTTCTTGAACACGCAATCACGTACACATTTGAATTATTCATTTTTGACCGATCTGAATCCGTCTTTAATTAACTTTTGCGTAATTTAAGATCAAAGTAATACACGATTTACAGAGAAGTCCACTTACCGTGATAGCGACATATTATTCCGGTTTTACTAGACCTTAGTCTTCAAGAATACCCCCAAAAACAAACTGTCTCACAATAGAGTTAAATATATATGTTTTCTAATTTCACATGCAGCTGCAGTGTAAAAACTGCTGTAACGTACTCTGAAAATAAGCACGGAATCTGGAAGCGCTTTTGATCCTGCCGCAATAGCTCTTTAATCAAACATCAGTTGTCAGATTTTGGTTAAAAATTATCTGACTTCAGAAAAAGAGGCGCGTTCTGTGGCTTAAAATTAGAAAGCGCACCGATTGATTCTTTTGGTATACTCGATTCACAGAACAGTGACACACCTTAAATCATTGGAAAACATCACCTACAAAAAAACTGTTACGTCCACTGTCAATCTTACACTACACGTCATTGACATTTGCAGAACACCTGGTTCCTATTACACGTAATTAATTCTCACTTTCTAGGTGACAGCCGAAGTCCAGCTTCTTTGGTAAATACCTTGCGCGGATCGAAATTCGGTTCAATTTACGTCACGGCTTGCGCCATCTACTTTAATATTTCAATGATCATCGATGATTTGCTATAGATGTAAGGAAGAATTAATTGATACGAAATGCTCTGTCGGTCACTAAAACAACAGCTCGTTCAGAACTCTTTCTAAAAGCACGATCTAATCAACGTTCTTCTCAGAACTGAATAGTTAATTTTATGTCCAAAGTCTCCAGCGAAACTGTTGCTGTCTTAAGCTTCCGTAATAAATACTCGATGTCGAAGTATTAAGCACTTGGTCACCCAGCCAACCAAACGACCACTAATTACTATCTAGCTTGTCCTCTTCATCTGACATTGAATCTACGTCCTTGCTATTTTTTCCTCATTGGGGTTAATAAAATTAGCTATATATGTTTGATCAGTTACCACAAATATCCAGTTATCGGAATATTGAATTATTCAACACAAATTTATTTATGCAAAAATTGGATTAACCACAAAAAATAGCTTATCGATAGTTATACACTATCAAAGATAAAATTATTTTGTCAAGTACATGAATAAAGATCTATGATAGATTCTACCTTCATAGAAATATATTCCCTCTCAGTTACACCCTGTGAGACTTCATATACAATCCATATCTATATATATAAAAAAAATGTATCTGTACACTGTACTGATAAGCAATGCCCCAAACTGGCTTGACCAGCAATGTGCACTGCTTAATATAATGGTATAATAAAAACTGCATCAAGCGGAGGAATTCCTATACACATGTACCAATTCACTACAGTGTTAAGTACAAAGAACTTGCTGATATAGTGCAGGGATTCTTCGTAATTTTCAGGCACCTGCACTTACTGCATTTAATGATTAAATATATGGTTTTTTTGATATGAAAAGAATATTTGTTTCTTAAGAGGCAAAGACTTTATTTAAAGAAATCAATTTTAAAAATCGACAAAGAAATAATGAGAGAACTAATACCGCTTTTTTTTTAATTCTTGTACTTTTAACATATTTAATCTGTGTAAGGAAATCGAAAATTTCTATTTTACACGTAGTTCGTGCATGGATTACTCTTCTCGCTCCCTCATGATTTTTTCTCTCCTGAATTTCCTCTGTAAATGTTTAAGATTAACAAATAAAAATCTAGGCATTATAGATGTATACTTTGAAATTGCAGTATGAATCTACTTTCAGCAATTTTTTTTTCTAAAAAACAAACCAGATTTCTGCATCCTGTAAATATAGATTAACTGAAGGATTTGACTTATAAGCAAGAATCATGCTAAATATTACTTAGGGAGTATGTATTATTTTTGAAATGTGAACCGAAAGTCACAAAAGGTTCATGTATTTCGACTTTTAAATGGTAATATTTAAAGTTTTAATATGTGCCTTTTATTTATTCCCTTGGTCCTTGACCTGTGATTTTAAAGAGTAATGGGGTCATTCTATTAAATATGTATTTTTGACGATTATTATTATCTTTAAGAGATGAGGTTTATAATGGTATAAAAGAACCTGGTAGTCATAAACGCTATAAAAGGTTCTCAAATCAAAATGCTTTCCTGTGCATTGTATCTCATTCTGGATATC